GGAGGTTCTTCTGGTATGTTAGTATTTTCACATTTAAAAGGATCTACAACCTAATTCACAATTTGTACATCAAGATCTGAAAAGTAGTCAGAGAACCGCTCTCTGAGTTTGGTAAGATGAAATTAGAAAAATTACCCAAAAAATTCATTTTTACCCCATTTTTGGTAATTTACCCCGGTTCCCCGACCGCTGCGTTAGACTTATAAAAGTTTGTTTTTTTGCTTGTTTTATATGAATGAATATAAAATCAGATTTTTGTCACAAAACTAATTAAATACTGATTCATATTCAGCCTTCCCTCTTATTGCGTTTATTTATATCGTACTAAATTTGATGCAGTATTGTTTCTTCTATAGATAAATGGAATTCGTGCTAGTTAAGAAAAACAGCGTCACATGTTCGAAAATTATATTGGTTTGTTTACTTTTTATTAAATGTTGTTGAATGATGATGACTAACATCAAACGTGACGGGATTTGTCCCATTTAGAAAGCAGACTCATCATTTTCTTTGTAACCGAGGATCGCGTCCATCAAGCTTCCCCTACATTTCTCTTCAGCAAAATTATTATTATACATTTTAACAAGTAAATAGTCTTTAATTATATCTTAAATTTAGAAATTTGTTCTTGAAACTTTACTTACATTATTAGTAAATTTGTATGTAATTTTGGTTGTTGTTATTTTTAGAAGCAAAGAAGAATCAAAATTCAAAACTGACGGAGACGATCTGAGCGTCTCAGAGACTGAATGCAGAGAGGATTTCCAGGATGAGCCGATCGACAATTCACAGCACACGAATAGCAGCGATCTGAAGCAAGATGTAATTACGGTAACAACATGAGAGGAGCCGATCGATGGTATTAATGTTTGAATTCGATAATATTGCAGTTGGATCCGGAAGTGGTGAGCTGTTACTGCAGTGCCTCGCACACCGACAACATATCCACCGATGAGCACGACAGTTTGCGGGATTCGCACAGTATTCGACCAGTATTGCACAAGGGCATCCAGTCCAGCGACAGCGGAGCCGACCTTACGGAGCACGTGAAGGGTGGCGATCCGGACAACATATGGCACAAGTATTGGGCGAAGCATGGAGAAAGACTGATTTGGGATTCGTGGATCGAGAAGTATAGCGATTACATAAATCCCGATTACCTAGAGCAGACGCCGGAGAGCAATCAAACGGAAGTTGCGGAACATTCCAAGAGTCGTTTTAACTTCGACAAGAAGGACCTGGAGAAGAATTTAAGTATAATAGATGAGAATAAAGTGCTGATCGATAACGGAGACAATATAACTCAGAGGAACCGAAGTCTGGTGAGGAACCTATCCGGCAGTGACTCTTATGATAAACTCAACACCGATATTTCGGAAGGATGGAATCCTTTGTCCCCATCGAGCGTTGACTGCGAAACGGAAGCGGAGAGATTGCTGAGCAGTCGTTGCGGATCGTATGCGAGCAGCTCTATTCGAACTATAGATTCTATGACCAATGTCACTCGCATGACTGTATCTTCAATCGATCTCAGCGAAAGTTCGAAAAGTTCAGAGAGCTTCTCTTCGGTGAGTTCCGTGCAGAGTTCATTGAGTTCAAGTTCGGAGGAGTTCGAGGAGAACGGCGATTACGATATTCAGTGGAATTCGCTCTGGAAGAAACATTACGAGGAGGAGTATTTGGAGCAATACAAGAGGTTCATCGCGTTACAATTGGGAAAACTCGACGATGAGGCCGATGGTCTCAATCACTTCACGCACAAGAATGTTATGCAATCAATGAAGATATTGGGCATCGAGAGGAAGAACAGTAACGCATCCAGCGCGGACGACAGCGAGTCGCATGCCAAGAAACGTTCGAAAAAGGTGAACAAGAAATCCGTGGATTCCGTTGGCAGTTTGTTGAACAAATTGAAGATGGAGGACGTGATCGAAGCGGACGTAGTTAAATTAGCGGAGGTTGAGAGCATGCATTGCGATGAGAATCTGATGGGTTCGATGGGATTGCCCACTGCGTTCGGCAAGCAGAAAACTCCTGATACTCCTAAAGCCGTGAATATTGCGCAACTCGAAGTGGAGAGTAGCGGCACCAATCAGTCGTCTTCTGATCGAATCAAAGCCGCTTTCAACTTGATGGGCATCGAATTGGACGAAGAGCAGAATCCTAAGTTCAAAGGGCACGTCGACTATAAAATGAAGCACATCCGACTCCAGAATAGGCAGTTAAAGCTCCAACCTAAACCGAAGCACACTTATTTCGACGACGACGGTAACGAAGTCGAGGACAAAGAATCTGACGAGATCGTCCGATTGACCGACAATTCTGAAAAGAAGCCGAGCTTCAGCTCCAACGAGGAAGACGATATCGACCAAATGATTGAGGAGGAACCGGAAATCGTCACCTCAAGGAAACGCAAACGTAAACGCAAGTTGGCCTTACCAGTAGAGATAAAAGAAAACCCGACGCTTCGCAAGTACTGGGAACGGCGTTTTTCGCTGTTCTCGAAATTCGATAAGGGAATTAAATTGGACGAAGGTGTGTGAATCAGTTTCTGCAAATATTTTAAATGTCACGTATATTCTATAGCAGTGACTTCAAATTTTGTCTTAGTTTGAAGACTACTGTTCTATAGATTGCGGGATTTTGTTCTTAATATAAATTCTAATTTAACATATATTGTTCGTATTTCAGAGAGTTGGTATTCGGTGACTCCTGAGCAAGTGGCCAAACATACGGCGGAACGGTGCCAAACCGACGTGATTGTCGACGCCTTCTGCGGCGCCGGCGGCAATAGTATTCAATTTGCGTTCACCTGTGAAAGGGTCATCGCGATCGACATCGATCCGAAGAAGATCGAACTCGCGCGAAACAACGCCGAAGTGTACGGCGTTGCGGACCGAATCGAATTCATCGTCGGCGATTTCTTCAAGCTCGCTGATTCGTTGAAAGCCGACGCTGTTTTCCTGAGTCCGCCTTGGGGCGGACCCGAGTATTTGACACAGCTTTCTTACGATTTGGAGACGATGCTGCAGCCGGTCCCACTCACCGATCTCCTATATGCCGCTAGGAAAATTTCGCAGAACATTTCTCTGTTTTTACCAAGAAACAGCAATACTTATTCGGTGAGTTTTCACTTTACTACAAAAAAAATTATTTCAACTTCTTTCTGTTTTGTTACCTTCTACGCGATGCATGTTTATTAACTTGGAAATTTACTTGCCTAGCGTTGATGTAAATACTCGCCTATAAATATTTATACTTTTCCTTTTATGCACTATGTAAAACTTTATTTCTGTTTACATTAAGTAAATATCAATATTGACAAAATCAGTTTACTAATAAGTGTAACTGAAATTTGATAAACGTCAAGAAGTATAATATTTTCAAGAATCTAATAAGAAAAACTTTGACTATTTCAGTTGCTTAAGTCAGCTGGTTCTGGGGGTTTCGTGGAGATCGAGCAGAACTTCGTGAACAAGAAGTTAATAGCGATTACCGCTTATTACAACGGTCTCATTAAGGAAATTTGAATGATGGAAGGAAGGAAGCAAGTATAATACCAATACCTCGTTACTATATAAACTCGAGCACACGATTTCTTTTAGCTTTTAAGTTGTGTTTAACGAAATTTATCATTTCTTTTTTTTTTCTACGTTTTAACCTATAATAATTTTTATTTAATCATAAACCGAGATTTAAAAAAATAAGAAGAATTTGTGAACGACATGGAGCAACAACAACAAAAAAAAAACACGTAATTTTTAAGTCGATATTCTTTGGTTTCGTTTCGTTTTATATTCATATTTTACTTTGTAGTTACCGTAAAGTAATCGAATAAAGTGAAATTGCGACAAGTCAAGTGTGCGGTATTTATTTTAAAATTCGCTTTGATGAATGGTGGATCGGCGATGCGTGGGAGGCGACTGGGCTTTAATAGTGGCAGTGATGCCAACGTCGTTTGCGTAATGTATCAATGGTGATGAATAGGTTGGTGGGGAAGTTTCGGAGTTGTGGCGTTGGCAGCAGTGCGGACGGCAGCAAATGTCAGGTTTGTCTCCTATGGTAGAGTTGCAATTCCCATTAAACGTTCGGTGGTAAGTGCCGAGGCTTAAATTAGCTAATTAACTGTTGTTGTTTTTTTTTCTACGATTTTTTTTATTGCGATGATCGGTCGCGTTTGCATAACTGATTTGTTTTTAGTTTGGATGCTTGATGAATGGCGAACGTATGGCATGGCATCAATGCGATTCTATTACAAGCTACTACTATATATGTATATACATATACGCATACATATATTTGTTTTTGTTCCTACAATCTTATTAGTTTTGATATTTGCTTGTCATGGATGCATGTACCGAAATTGCAAGTTTTCTTTCAAATATCCTGAATGTAATAGGCACGAGGAGAGTTCGATGACATTGATCCAAGCAAGCGTTTTGATTGCTGGAAAACCCTCCAACCCCGTACCCCAAGATTGCAACCCTAAAACGATTAGAACCCTCGCAACATCAGAAAAAAGAAAACAATCGATAATTTCCTTGACCATCATCGTCAAGGAAGTTGCTAAGCAATCGTAAACATGTAACAGGATAAACAATCGCTATCTACGAACAATTGAAAATCAATTTCCTGAATAAATTGAACAACAATTTGAATATTGATCATAATTTCGAGTTACATATTTACATGATATCTGTTGCAGTTAGCGTTTAGAGTCGGTTTTCAGTTGTTGTGCGCAATGACGCGGGATAGGCAATTAATCACGTTTCGGGTTTGCTCTCTAATTTGTCATTTAAGTCACCGGCCGACGGCGGCTTCGATTTTTTTCATTTTTAGGAACGATTTAATCCCAGTAAGTACGAAACCCATCAAATCATGATGTTTATTAATATGAATTCGATAATTCGTAACTTGGTGAATTGGTTATTAAATCGGGAATTAATTCGGATCAAATGGTTTGCATGTTGGACACGCATGTTACGAAAATGCACTTGTCTAATATTTAGGACGTATGATCAAACTGAAGTAGTTTAGTATTACTTAGAAATGTAGAATTTGGTTTGGTATAATTTTAACTATTAGTATTACAATTAACATTAACATTTTTACTTACGTTTCGTTTATTTTGATATTCGACAATTTCTAACTAGTTTTAATTAGACAAAATTAAAAACAAATAGATATACAAAATAATAGTGAAGATTCACATAATTTCAATAAACACTTGTACATTATTAATTTTATAATAAAGATTTTTTTTAATATAAATAAATTTGAGACTTTCTGTTAAAAATGCAGTAGATGTTTGATTATCGATTTAATAGAAATTATTGGATAGATTTTAGTTAAATAAAATTCTCTTAAAATACATAACTTAATAAAGTTTTTGCCACTCACTACACGATACTTGTCAATTAACTTGTACAAGTACTTGTGAAACATCCTACTGCAGTCTTTTCTCGTACGGAACGAGATAGTTGGCAAGTATTGTGCAGTAAGTAGTTTTTTGATAAACTATTGAATAAATATTTTGGATACAACTGAATTTATTCAAGTGAATGAAGAGAAAGTTTCTTGTTAGAGTTAAGTTTGTTGATTTACTATTTGATAATACTAATAGTTGTACCAAAGTAAATTCTAGCGATGATTAGGGAAGGAATAAGTTTTCCTCTCGTTCGCTTAAAAGAGATATTGTTGCATCCAAGATAATTAACATAATAACAGAATTTCGGTTTTGAAACGGCATGGTCTAAATTTAGTGTTTACTTAAGTTCACCGCATGCAGATTACATATACATATCCACCTATTCTTACGATAATAACTCCTATTCTCTTATCTTCGCTCCGCACTTTGTTTGCTCAGTCGCTTTCCGAACACAAAACCGTAAGCACCACCACCTACCTAACTTATATTTAGTGTGTATAATATTTAGTCGATTTATATATAACCATGAGTGAGTTTAACCATATTTTATTTGACTGTATAAATGCAATTATTACTTGGAACACTTTGGGTTGAGGTTTTAACTCTTGCAGGTGGGTGTTAGAGATGGTCCAGAGAACTGGAGCAAAATGTAAAGTAGACACGTAGACTTCTCTTCTCTTCTGTTGGTGGTTGGGATTAAAACAATAGATTAAAAACGAAATAGCAAATTTAATAGAGAGAGAGAGAATAATTAGAAACAACGAACGGCACTGAATGCTTTTGACTAATAATAATAAGACACGCTCGCTCACCGCAAGTACATATAGGAGAGTACTCTAGTCCGGTAGAACTTGCCATCATCGTAATGACTAATGCCAAAGCGAAGGCCAGGAATTATCCTTGCCTGACGTGCAAAAAGAAGTTCCTGAGTAAGAACGATTTGAGGAAGCATGAGCGGATCCACACGGGCGAAAGACCTTACGTCTGCAAAGAATGTAATCTGGGCTTCAGACAGGCCGGATCGCTGAAGAACCACATGGCGTCGAGGCATTCGCAGTTGGATAGCAGCGAGGTTTACGTTTGCAACGAGTGCAACAAGTCATTTCCTATAAAGGAGAGGTTGAGGCTTCACATGAGGACGCACACTGGGCATAAGCCGTACGCGTGCAAGCACTGCCCGAAGACGTTCGCGAGAGGAGGTCAGTTGGTGCAGCACACGAGGACGCACACCGGTCTGAGACCGTACGAATGCAAAGAGTGCAAGACGACGTTCACGTGCTCCGCCAATCTGAAGCTGCACATGAAGAGGCACCAGGACATCCGCGACTACGTGTGCGACATCTGCGGGAAATCCTTCTTCAGACGCGACGCCCTCAAGAAGCATCTGAACTGCTATCACGACAACGTGAAGGCTTTCCACTGCAACATCTGCAACAAGAACTTCAAGGGTCACCTACCGCAGCACATGAGGACCCACAAGAAGCACAAACCTCACGGCTGCGCCCACTGCGGCGCCCGCTTCGCCCAGAAGTCGCAGCTGACCGTTCACCAGAGGACGCACAGCGGCGAGAAGCCGTACAGATGCCAGGTGTGTTGGAAAGCGTTCGCACACTCGACCGCCCTCAAGCTGCACACTCGTCAGCACACCGGAGAGAAACCTTTCGACTGCATCCTCTGCGTGAACGTCGCCTTCTCTCAGCTTCCGCATCTCAAGAAGCACATGCTGTGCATCCACAAAACCACCAAACCGTACGTCTGTCGCTACTGCCGCTCCTTCAACAAGACCAAGTCCGATTTGGAGGCGCACTTCGCCAAATGCAAGAAGTACAAGTTGGAGAACGATAAAGTGGGAAACGATGGTGACGAGGTCCAACCTTCGATGCCCATCGATAAAATGAGGCTGCTCCTGGCCGTGCTCCTCAAGAAGATATCGACGCCGCAGAAGCTCAAAGAGCTCGGATTCGACAAGAAGCTAATAGACGATGTTCTCATTGCATCGATCAGAAGCTCAAGCCGAGAACCCTGCACCGACGATTCAATCACCAGCGGAGAACGTCTCAAACAGAACGTACAAATCCTCTTAGAGTGGACCGTACCGAAAGAGTACATGGAGAAGTTCAAATGTGAACAACGTTCTACCGAAGAACTGCTCGAAGAATTGACTTCCTAGAAACACATAGTACAACGTTATATAAATATACCAAAAACAAATACAAAACACTAAAACTAATCGCAAATTATTAACATAGTTTAGAAAATAGCTTTTTTAATACATATCTTGCCATATACATCTATATTTATAAAGAATTTATATTTATTTAGTTACCAAAGATTTTTTTTTGTTCGTTTTATTTTATACATTATGAAAAACCATTATGATAAGTGTAATTTATGATATGTGCAATTTGTTTCTATTTGCGATACATCACAAAGGCTATAAAACTGTTAAGACTTCTTGCTGAACTGCCAAAAAAAAGAAAGAAAAGAAAAACGAACCTGATTAATTGCAATTTTTTTAATTTAATTTTTAGTTTATATATATATATATTTACATTGTATACAACAAGACTGTTATAATTTATATTTTTAGTTTTATATCATATATTATTATTATTATTTTTTTTTAGTTATTGGTCGGTTGCAATTATTGTTGTAATTCATTTGCTAGTCTTGCACTAGGCGAACATGTTTTGAACACTTAGGGAAATTTCAAATGTTTTACGAGACTTGTGCTTCTCATTGATTATTCTGTTCTATGATCTATATAATAATAATAAATACAATTCTGTTTTGTTTAATTTGTCTTTATTTTGTTTGCTTTTAGATACTTTTATTTCATTTCATTCAGATTTTAATTAACGACAAAAGAATTGAAACGGTAGGTATATTGTATTATAATATAAAAAGTATATAGTTAATAAGTAACAAACCAATACTTAGATATGTTTTATAGAGAAAGTTTATTATTTTCGATCCGGAGTACCACAAGGAAATGTACTTGGACCTATTTTCTGTTTTACCTTTTGAAATCTACGGTGTTTCGTATACAAAATATGTACAAAAGAGAAGTTGTATATAAACATGATTTGCAAAAGATATAATTGAACATCATTTGAATTAACTTTCCAAACTAATTGCCAAGTATAATTACGATGCTTTTTTGTATTGATATAATGTTTTATATAATACAATTTGATCACATTCAAGCTGATTTTATTTGAAAAACGATGTAAGCATCAATGAAACTAATCAAATGCACCAATATTAATACTGTGGAACTTCTGGTTAAGGAGTGAGTGTGAATTTGGATGTTGAAGTAAAAGAAAAGCCTCAATAGAAGTATAAAATGGTATATTGATTTACGAAATAAAAACACAAAAAATATACAAATAAATAAAGACTATTATATAACCCCAAATAGAATATACAAAAACAAACGCATTATAAAAAAAAACATATTGTAATCGGAATTATAAAAAAAAAATATACAATAATACGTTTAAAAGGGTAACAAAACAAAAAATTACGTGATAATACAACTAAAGAATAGCAAGCAGCTCAGCGTTTGATTTGCTACTTACCACAATTAGTATAAGAAACAAACAGCGTTTTCATCTTCACCGTTAATGACTAACAGGAGATTGTTTTTCTTTACTTAATAACAGTTTTGTAGTTAACGTCTCAGATGAAAATGCCGCAGTGTAATTGTTTAAAAAAAATAAATGGATCAAGCTTTTTGATAAATGTACAAGGTAAAGTCTTTGGATGCTACTTATGAAAAATAAATCTAATCTAATTATATAACTTTATGAACAAAATATTATTAATAGAAATAAAGTTTATTCTAATATATATATATATATATGTATGTATGTATATTTATATATGTATTTATATATAAAAATGGACGGCGATTTGCTAGCACTACACTAGTAAAATTCAGAACAAAAGAATAATAAAAAAAACAATAAAAACAAAATGAAATTGTAGAAAGTACGTTCGGTGTATGTACGATATTAATAGTAATCAATGAAAAAGTTGCGTTTATTCGAAAAATCTTTTTATTTAACAAAAGTGGAAATAAATTAATTTGTAGTTCAACCGAAACCTAGAATAGATCCTATTCATATATATATATTTTATATATTAATTAGTTCACTATTTTCATTTTATTTTTTTGTAAAATTCATCATTAGGCACATTATAAAAACGGGCGTGTAAGAAAAATTTCTGCAAATTTTCCATTTTCCTTCCACCCGCGTCTCATCGTCTTTTTTTTTGTTTGTTTATTTGTTTTTGTAAAAAGTAAAAATTGTTTGTATTCATTCATAATGATCATAATTGTGTTATTTCGCATCGTATTCAATTTTTCATTCATTTTCTTTATGTGTATTTACGTCTGTCTCATATAAATAATCAATCAATATTTTTTTGTATTGCACACAATGTATAATCAGAATATATTCCTTCTTTTTTTGTTGTTGTTTGTTTTTCATATATAATATATTTATATATTAAATATTAATACCTTGTAAAACGTACTATCACTTATCACTTATATCTCATCAAACTATACGCTCGAATAATTAACTACAATTCTGTTAATAATTAATAAATTAAGGATTAAAAAAGGTAACATTCAAGTGGACTATGAATTAATGATTTTTTTCCACCTCATCCATCGTCGTCGCAGCCGCAGCAGCAGCATCCATCCATTCTCTCCGTCGTCGTCGTCGACGCTTTATCCTTTGCCTCCGAGTGGGCGAGTTAGGAAATATGTTCGCTGCATTCCCATCAAAAGAATTTATTTATCACATTGGGAACTTAATCTCTATATATATTCGATGCCCGAAGATATCTCTTAACAGCCTCATCATCCATCGTCGAGCCGCCAACGAATTTGAAGAACGAAACGTTCCTTCTTTCTATTTTGATGTTGCTTTACTGCCCTCGTTTTATGTATTTATATGTGTATTTTATATGTAGGTGTGTTTATTATTTTTCCTCTGTTGGGTATGAAGAATAAGCCTAGAAGCGCCGACGGCTCCTCTTCTTCTTTCAGCTGTTCGATTGGTTTTGGTATTGTACTGGGTGTTGGTTCGAGTAGTCCATCATCATGGAAGGGCTCTCGAGCTGCGATTGGCTGTCCGTGCTGGCCTCGATCGAATCCGAATCGTATTTAATCCCGCGCTTGAACCTTCCGTACAGGGATGAGTAGGGCAGGTTGTAGTGGATTGCGGCCTGGTTGATGGACATGTGTCCTAATCTGAAACAACAACAACAACGATACAACAAGCGCGTTAATCTTCATAAGTCTTGCATCATCATCATCATCAACTTACCGAACAGCTTCCAGTGCTTCGCCCATTGCATCCTCGGACCAGGGCGTGGGATTCGATCTCGACAATTCGATGCCCTCGCGTTTGCATCGACCGTACAGCGTCCCCGTGGGAATGCCGTACTCCGTGGAGGCCCTCTGCACAGATGTCTGCCCGGATCTTATCGATTCCAGCGCTTTCTCCAGATCCTCGGGCGTCCACGTCGTCGGTGCGGCGTTGAAGGGCGCCGCCAATCTGATGCCTTCCCTCCTCGCGATCTTGTACAGCGTGCTGCTCGGGATGCCGTACGCTTTGCTCGCTTTATTCGCAGAAATCGTGCCCGTTCTCAGGGCTTCCAGAGCCGAGTTCAGGCTCTCCTCCGTCCACGATTTCGTCGGACCTTCCTTCTTCGGCGTATCGATTCCCAACCTGTGCGCCCTCTGCCACAAAGTCGTCGATGGGATTCCGTAAGTAGCAGATGCCTAACACAGAACAAACAAACAAAATAAAGTCTAGCAACTTTATACATTATATTCTTATCTTACATTCGCAATTTCATCAAATCGTCAAATTTTATGTGAAAAGTTCACAAATTGTGAATAAACTTTATCAATAGTAAAAATTACAAAATATGATATACAGGCGAATATTATATGAAAACAAACATCGAAATACAGGAAATGAAAAACGCTGATGCAATTAATTTAATAAAAATTGAACGAATTTATCGATACATTGTTATGAGAAATAAAGTGAATATCAAACTTCACAAACTGCATGTCGATGTTTAATAAAGCAAAATTGTAAACAAATATAAAATAAATATTTTACACTAACGAGTTCCAAACGAAATGCGAGATGCGCTTATTATGGTTACATAATAACGGTTAATTCATTGAAACGAATGATAGCAGCGCGATGGTATGAAGCGTGCAAAAAAAAAATGATTGAAAGGTGAGAAGCTCCTATCTTCTCAACGGCGGTATCAAATTTATTTATACGTAGTATTTCCAAGCGTATCATATATACCACATCCTCTTTATATAGAAAAAAAAGTATATTTTAAAATATTGATCATGTGAATTAATATAAATGCTTGAATTGATTATTTCAACAAGGTACAATACATAGAATTGCACTCTAATTTAAGTGCGGATGATTGCATACACACAACCATACTTAACTATATCTTGATTGGCGGTCAGTTAGGATAAAGACATTTTCAAGAAAAAAAGATACTATTCTGATTCGATTTTAAAATCCGTTAGTATGCGTAAAGTCGATTAAACAAAAACGATCCGTTACCTAGGTAATTAATTTGTTATGCACCATTTTCGATTACATAAACGTCAAAATGAGTCAAGTCAAAGATTGAATTAGTGCAACTGGGTGGAAAAAATCGCGTTTAATTAGGATTTCAGGTGAATATCGTGAATTCGTTTACCTTAGTTAAACTCATGTTGTGATTCCTCAATGCGTCCAGAGCCATCTCCATGTCGTCTTGCGTCCATGTTTTGGGTCCACCACCGTGCCTCGATCCGTGCAGATCGCCGTTAGCTTTGAGGCCGTGATCTGCGTGAAACGGAAAAAAGAAGGTAAACGAATTAGTCAATATAGTCCAAGAGAGACTTATTATAGGTGAAGACGTACACGTACCCAGTCGATGGGTCTCGGGCGGCATCAGACCCATCAGTTCCGGCGTTATCATCATGGTGGTGTGGTGCATCGAATGGTCGCCGTCGTGGCTGTCCATCGAATGGTGCGAGCTGTCGATATCTAATAGAGATTCCTGTTCGAACGATCTCAACGTCTCGAATTTGATCTCCTTCTTGACGTCTCTGAACTTAGTGTTTGGCGGGTCTGCAATCCAAACTCTAGCTTAGATGGCACAAACGCACAAACATCGGAACAAATTGTATAATTTAGATCGGTGGTCCTTATAGGTTTCGGTAACTCGCACCTCCAAGATTTTCATCGCATTCCCTCTTTTCGCACAACGATATAATGCAGTTTATTTCATCCAACAACAAACCATTGTAATGAGTACGTCATGACATAATATGTACAAGAGTTACTTGTAAAGTAACAAGTATTAATATTGACACTGTGTGTACCAAACGTGTTCATAGTTTTCAAAAACTATTTTGTAATCGTATTAATTTAACAGACAAATAGTGCGTATGCAGTTTGGAATATACATTATGTTCTTCTAATTATCTGAGATAATATCATAAGAATCGTTTGAGATTGAGGACGACTGCATTATAGCTTACTTGTGCGAGCAGAATGTAGAAAATCTTCGAGGATTAAGTGGTAGAATAGAATGAATACCTGATAGGTCTGTCCTGTGCAGGGAAGAGTTCGTGAGAAGAGTACGGGCGGGCGAGTGTTCTTGCATGTCCACGTGTCTTACTGGAGTCGCAGTTGGTGCCGGAGGTTCCGGAGGAAAGTCCTCATTATCAACTCCGAACTGTGAAAATAGCATCTAAAAGAACCGTCGGCCGGTAATGAAAAATAAAAGAAAAACAAAAACATTCAAAGGTATGTGGGAGGAGGGCGAAGGATGCACGATGCATGGGGATGAGGAGCGGATGTACGGGGGGGGTTATGGGGGGAGTGTTTTCACGAGCACTCACTTGGCCAGTCAGCAGGGCATTACTGCTCATATTAAGCGGCTTATTGTTCTTGTCCTCATCTACAGCCTCCTTCTCTTCGGCCCCGTCTGGACCGGAAACGTGTCCGTTCGAGTTTTCCGGCGGCGTCTCCGCCTCGTCGGGCTCCTCTCGCCCTCCCTCGACCACCACCTCCGCGACCGCTGCCGCCGTCCCCGCCTCCGATGACTCGGCCGTCGACTTCCGGTGCCGCTGTTTCCGGTTGTTATTGTCAGCACCGCCGTGCGACGGAGACTCCCCGTCGCGACGTCGGATCTTCGGGTACTCGCGAGCCGCGAACGGAAACCCGGAATTACTCAGGTCTGCTTCCGGATCTCCTTCCAGCCTCTCCTCGGGCGACTCGCACAAACCCTTTATCTTAAGCTGATCCGCCGTCTTTAATATCGACTATAAACAACAACAAAATACAATAAGTTACACTCAAACTTATATTAATATTATAGATATAAGAAATAGTTCTGCGCATCTAATCCCCAATTTACAAACACATTCATTTCTCGATTCTTACAATTACACAAAACATACATTCCACATTAGCGAATTACAGCAAACCATACCATCAATGGCAATTGTATGACAACAGTCAAAGTACATACGAATCGATTGGTATTTCCACGTCCCGGTTATCGAAAGAAACAACATTTTTTTTTTTGTAAAAGAACAAAAAAAGTTTAGCTGCTCTTGACCTCTCGATAATTTTAGCTGTCGTTCCCCATGAATAAGTCATGAGTGCTTAAATTGCAAGATGTTTCTTAGATAGAAACGAAACGCATATGCACATTGAAAATAATCGCCATCAGGAAAATACTAATGTTCATGTTTTACAAATTGAAATGACAAATTTGTATACCATTTAAATAATTCACTTCTAATATTCTACTAATGCAACGATAATTATCAACCAATTTCTGCATACATAAGACTTCATTTGTTTCACGGATTTACATGATGGCACAGATTCTGATTGGTCGCATCTGAATATCTAATAAGTATTACGTAAACGTGCGATCAAACACATCTGACCCAATTGCTAAGAGTATTTCACCAGTTCCTCGCTTTGACACAAGGTGACAGCTGTCATTTCGCGACCCATTAAAAGAATAACGGTTGAAAAACGCTGCTTCAGACGTTTTATTCTATATTTGCTATCTGTTTAATTCACAGACCAAACATTAATTTAACTTTTTTTTTTAATTACAACTTAATATAAAGTGGACATAAGTCAACTTTTACGATTAGTAAAGTCAAGTATCTAGAAGTAAATTATGTGATTGAAATCAATAATTCAATTGTGTTCAATGTCTAATATGTGTATGAGTTTTACTACATATTTCATAATTAAATAAATTGAAATTTCAAAAAAAAAGCAGATCAGAGGTAAAACTAAGAGCTATTCATAAACTCATTTTAACGATTACATTTTATTTATAGACGGCGATTTTTTTTAAAACTCTCTTGACGTCAGCCCCATATCCGATATTTCAAAGAACTTTAACATGCATGAGAAATTGATTTTTATGTAGCCACATTACTTTACTTATCACAAGTAATCATTTTAATCTGCACCATGAAGTGCATTCATATTACGTATTGTTTGAGAAACTCTAAATCAAAATTTTGAAGATTCAGTTTATTCGAAATTTGTCACCTTTAACACTATTTTTAGGTTTATTACATCACCATTTTGTTTATAGCACGTTATTTGCTCTTTTTTTTTATTAATGCTGGAAATGTAGATAAAAATGACTTTAATGTTAAACATTTATGTAGGAAAAAAACTGATGTTTGTATTGAGAATTGTTTGTACGAGAAATTCTCAGAAAATAATTTATAAAATTCGTAGAAAAAAACACTGTTTTAATTAATCTAATTCATTAAATTAATTAATTAAGGAAATTATCAATCAAGTTTATAAAAGTGTATACTAAAAAATCATCAACTATTTAATTTTTTTCAAATCCAATTTAATTTGAAGAAAGAAAATTATGCATTATTTATAAGCAATTATGGACATTGAGCAAACATTTCATGAATTTTAATAACAATACAGATTATGTACATAGGAAATGCAATGTTTGGGTTTAAACCCCTAAGATTATTTGTATGAAATCTGTATGTTTATGATGTCAAAGACAAGTAGTCACTATTTAGACTGTTATATTGTCATATTTATTGCATTTAGTACAATACGGTTATTTAGGAGAGATGATAAAGCTACTATTTTTACAATGTGTTAATAGATTGAATAAATAAACGTATTATGTGTGCTTTTAAAGTTGTTAAATAAATACGTTCCAATAAATTAATCAACATTGCTTCCAAGGAATTCAATAAAAACAAAACAACATTACTTCTTAGTTTTAAGATACAGGAATACCTCGCACAATGCGGGTAATTTTGAAACCGTACCGGACTGAACGAAGTCGTACTATGCAACTTACAGACTTGGAAGAATTCGAAGGAGTCTCAAATGAACAAATGTGTTTTGAAACGGTCACGTTACAATTTCGAAGAAACGAACTTATTCAGACTTCCAGAGATTCGTATGAGTTGCATAGTAATAAAACCATTTTAACCTTCGAACATGTGCATTTTCCGTTAAAAAGTTGTATCAAGTTTTATTATTGTAAGCACTTATTCAATTATCTAATATTTTTAATGATAATTAAGTATGTACATTTTAATTGCAAATTAATTCAAATTTACATGTATTGTGAGTTGTATTTACTTAAGTCTTAATTGTAGTAATACTTAAAATTAATAGCTTAAAGTGGTTGTCTTATCTTGTTTTCTTTTTAAACGTTATTATTTATTTATCAGTTTTACAAACGACACGAATGAAAGAAACTCACGCATTTCTGCATCTAAAAGTTTATTTTTATTCGATACGAAATATAGATTGTAAGTCTTGTATGTGAAGAAATGGAGTAAGTGTACATTCTTATTCCTGTCATATCTGTCCTACGTATACGATCAATTAAAAATATTGAATTATTTATAGAAATATATAATTTATTGTTTAGTTCAATTGCTGCAATATAAAAATTTAGATTTCAAAGTTTATTAAGTTTAGCTATTGCATTTATGCATGATTATGTAATGTTTCATTTATAATAAATTATTGCAGCATCAACATCAAATTGACGTCAGCCTTCTTACTTCATCATCAGAGTAGTGAAATATTAATTAATTAGCAATTACAAGTATTAATAAAATTATAAGAATTAAAAAAAAAACTATCAATGATGTATAAAATTTAAAAATGAGAGTGGAAAATTGAACAAGTGCATTCAAGATGAAAAAGGGAACGTCTTATTTTGGTAATTGAACTGAGAGCAACTCTCTCTCCGATAAATCCAGATTATTTGAAGAGTATTTGTGGCGAAGAGAAAACCTTTCATTTCGAATAGGACAACGAAGTCAATTGATAGAAAATCAATGGGCGCTTTCGTCTTTTTTGCACTCTTCAACTGTTTTTCTTCTTAGAATTATTAAAATAAACAAGTGGCAGTGTTCGAAATGCTAACTTCTTTTTGTTTATCCGAAGTAAATATTTATTATTTCCTGTTTAAAATATCATTTCAGATATGCTAATTAAGTCATTCTTACGGAAAATCTGAGACAATATAATGGAACCTCGCTTAACGAGTTTAATCCTTTAAAAAAAATCCGGTTTTTTACTCGTTTAGTGAAACATATTCAAAAATACACATAATATGTGTGCACAAGTTTTAAAAATGAAGTAGGACTTCTCTTCTCATCGTATGTCGTTATGCGAATCGTCGCTCGTTAAGCGAGGTTCCACTGTATAAGAATTTGGAAACTCAGAGATTGTACCTAATTTAATAAATACCCAGAAACATAGTTTGGGCCAAAAAAATGATTAGAGTAAGCTATTAATGGAAATTACGTTCATTTTGACTCAAATTGACCGTTGAAATACGAAAATTATGAAACTATAAATTATTAATAAAAATTTCTTCATAATTAATAGATATAATTAACGAATTTACAATTAAAAACTGATAAATTATATGTTAAATTATATAATATTACAAACATTGATAAGACAATTAAATTTAATTTAGATCAAATCTAAATTCAATTAATATCTTAAAACGTAGAATAATTATTAAAACCAAATCCATGTTGAATTATCAATGTCATGATTTGAAAAGAAAATATAGTTTAAATTGAAAAATGGTAAATATGTACTGAATACTTTTTTTAGCTAAAAATTAATTTGACTTTAATATTTGAGAAAAAGACATCTAAAGTCCAGTTGATGTTAAATTTAATGGTAATTCGAATGAGTTTTTGACGCCTTGATAGATATTATATAAAAAATTAATGGTTTAAAAGTTTAATAGTTATGAAGTATATTTAGTTATTGTATTAGAAAATATGTAAATTTTATGCTATATTGCTATATTTCAATGTAATAATGATTAGTGTTGACTTGAAAACCTGGAGGTTTTTTTTAATAGAATTGTATTTAAGTTATGCAACGAAATTATTAATGGCGTTTCAGATGAAAGAATGATTCAGACTTACAAACGTCCGACGTGGCGACGACGTCTGGATAAACGAATACAATAGATCCATTGATGGTTTATAACTTCGCGGTGTGTATTGTTTTGACTGGAATTGGGTGTAATTAAAAATTTAGCTCGTATCGATTCGATGCGAAAAGAACGGCGTCGCGTGGCGCGTTAGGGTGGAGGCGCAAAAAAAAGGGAATCGTATGAAAATAAAATGCGAAAAAAAAACCAGGGAGAGAAAATGAGGAAAAAATTAGCGTTGGTTTGCGTGATATTATTGATTTCGGTGTTCGGATAAATAAATAAGTGATGTGTGTGTATGTGCGAGTGTTGTTATCAGAAAGGTGTCCTTGAACCCCGGATGATATTGATTTGGTCCAGACAGGCACATGTGGGATGGAAAGGCAGGCACATCATTATCACTTTCTCCGGTGGAGGAGAGTCGTCGCGTGTCTCCTCCTACTCCTTACTTCCTTCCTCCTTTCGAAATAAAGAGATAAAGTGAAAAGCGAGGAAAGGAATGGGAAGGAAAAGGAGCGAGGACGATGCGTTCGGGTGAAAGTTGTTGAATGGATGAACGGAGAAGAAGATGCGGGTGAAGAGGACGAGGTGATGGATATAAGGAGCAAAACAAAGACGGTGGTAATGCACCTGAAGTACGGCGCGCATCCCCGACCCACCCCCCTGCGACGACGCCACCACCACCACCACCGACGCTTCGAGTCAAGACGACCATATGGCTGCTGCGGGACTTCCGGTTAGATCCGAAACTATTTCCGGGTGAAAGTGCAAGGGCTCACATCATATTACATACATACAAACAACACACATGCACACACTATACGT